GGTTAGGGTTTCATGGGAGGACGTTGGAGAAGTGGAGGCTGAGAATGGAAAGGGTTTGGGGAAGTTAAGGAGCTTAAATAGGGATCAAAACCCCGAAATTAGGGTTTGGGTTCTGATCGTTATGCCCAGCGTAATCCTGGTATGCCTAACATACCAGGTTGATCCTCTGCGATCAGCCTTGCCTAGTATCCCCAACGTACTTGGCTTAACCCAAAAAACCCTTCTAACTTCTACCGGTCATAACTTCTTCGTTCCAACTCCGTTTTTGATGATCTTTATAACCACGGAAAGGTATTGAAGAGCCCCAAAATAGTATCTAGATATCTTGAACTAAAAACTTCTCGAACAAAAATCCATATTTCATACAAGACCTCGACCTATGACTTTCCCTTTTCTACCCTTCGGCCCAAAACAAAACTTCAATGGTTAAAATCTCGCATCCATCATTGCCTCCATCCAAAGGTCTAAACATTACCTCCTTAAGGTCCAAAGCCTTTACACAGTTGACTTCTGGGCCACGACCCTGAAATAAGAAATGATAGGAAACAGGATGTGATATATCGTGCAAAATACATACATTAATATAGCAATATCAAAATACCCTATATGAAGATTTTGCTTGTCCTCAAGCAAATAGAAATCATCTGGGCCAAATGATACTTATGTCAACATCAATCCAACAAAGCGTTATTTACTAAAGACACAATCAAATAATTCAAAAAAAGACAGCAATTATATTTAGAATCATGCATATATTTGTATTTTGGTTCTCTTTAACTTCTCAGGTTTCAAAATACTAAATATCTTTATAAGCAACCACCCATTAATATGAAAATCACATATTTTTGCATACCCTAGATATATACCTTCCTAAAATTCCTACCCTCAAGGTTTACTTTCCAAATTTCCAAGCTTTAAGACAAAAGTATCGAACGATCTAGCCTACAGTTTAAACTCATGACTTTCCTTGAAATCCATGTTGGGACTTTCGAAACTACTTTTCCGAATTTCAAAGGTCACATATTTGTTTAAACTTATTATTAATATTTCTATACTATATATTTTTCCTTCTTTTTTTCTTTATATATATATATATATATATATATATATATATATATATATATATATATATAGACACACACACACACATACACAATCATTTATTAAAGTTCATGGCTTTCTATGAAACCCATATGATGCTTCGAGTCCCAAAGGTTACTATAGAGTCCACAACTTTCGATGAACCCATGTAACGAAAATTTTGACCCCCACACACACACACACACATACACACAAAATTATTTATTAAAGTTCATGGCTTTCTATGAAACCCATATGATGCTTCGAGTCCCAAAGGTTACTAACAGAGTCCATGGCTTCGATGAACCCATGTAACGGAAAATTTGAACCAATTGATCTAAGGCTAGTTGGTTTGTGATCGCTAGATGTAAACATCCTTCAAAGTTTACTAGTCGAGTTTTAAAGGTCACAGATTGACTTCACTCCTTAACTTATATTACTTATTTAATACTATAATATAATAACTATCTACTACATTTATTCCTTTAAACACAACTCATGACTTGTAACTTGAAAAATTAACTTCACTCTATTTTGGCTAAGAAAGCTCTTTAGTGTTTATTTACGTCAAATTTGCACAAAATTTTGTAACCCTCAAATCAACAAATAACTACGTATAAATCCACCTTTTTCTGAAACGGCGAAAAACTACAAATACACTAACATGACAGCTAAATATAACATTAGAACTTATTTCAAACCATTTTTCATGACCTTAACAAAAACTAACATATTGGGACAATGTTATATAAAAGGTTAAAATCAGGCCCAAAAACAATCTAACTGTTTTTTCTCCCTATTTCGATATCTTACCCCACACTTGGATCATAGAATGCCTACATTGTATGGAAAAATTAAGAACAATAAGAAGAGAAACAAACGAACTCCCATGGGATAATTCAATCGTGGACAAATTCTAATGGCGGTGGGAAATTGTTGAAGAAACTAGGCTGTGATCTACTAAAATGTTTGAATTCAGGACTTTTCTGCTTAAATTAGGGAATTCGATGCGTGAGTGTAATATGGTGTGAGTAGGATAATTACGCGGCGTCAAGGAGATGGACGTGTCGTGTAAATCAAGTATGGGATTTCCTTGGCGATGCAAGTTTACTATGCGCCGTCTATGGGCCAGGAACGCCTCACGTACTTCGAACATAAATTTGTTCTTCACGCTGAATAATTTAGACTCAACTCGTGCTGACCAGACATGTGTATCGTCTATCATTTAAACGTTATCCTGTTTTGATAAGTATCATCTTCTAAAGGCCTTAATCCTGCTCCTCATGGATAATCATGTTGGATTAAGGTGTATAATGTCTTAACTAAATTGGTATAATCTTATGGAATAAAAACAAAGTCCGTTTTAGGTTGCCCTCATAATTAGAAATAGGTATAAATGATATTAGGAGAGTGAGGAAATGATTTATTAATTTATTATATGATTAGTAAATTAATCAGAAATTGTTGAAATTAATTAATTATTAATTAGAATTAATCTGGAATTAATTTGGGGTTAATTAAAATTAATTAGAGGTGCAAGGGTGGAATTGTAATTATTTAATAGTTGAACAAAAGAAACAATTCTAGAACCATCCATGGTATGAAAAATTTTAGGGTTTCTAGAAGCCTCCTATAGTTGATAAGGATAACTGCCTTGAGTAGACAGAATTTGAATATTTTATTATTCAAATCACGTTTTATCCTATAGATTCCACTGGTGGCGGGCGGGCGAAGGGTCCAAAGGACACGTAGCCGGGGGCGAGTCAGAAAATCCAAGAATTCCATTTTCCTTCTTGTTCATCAATCGGAAATCAAGACAAACCGGGCACTACGGTGAGACGTGAAAACACCCGATCCCATTCCGACCTCGATATGTGGAATCGTCTTGCGCCATATGTACTGAGATTGTTCGGGAGACATGGTCCAAGCCCGGTACGAGGATGACTTGTGCCTAAGGGTGCAACGATCTAGTGCTTGGTCCTTCACCTTTATGAGTAGGACTGACTCCCTTACATAGGTCTTATGTTCAGTACTTCGTATCAGGTTCTATCTATGGGACCTTAACGATAATTTTTTTGTTCTTTCTGAAAAAACCTAAGAGGTCCGTGACTGACCCTGTGTTCAGCACATGAGTTAGCGTTACCGCGTATTTAGTGGAAGCAGATAGTTAGGGACTGACCTGGTACCACTTTGAGTTACTGCCCCGAAGTACTAGACCAGCTCCTGTTGAAGAATAAGGCTTTTGAGCTGCCTGAGCATTGAATTTGGAACACAGGCCAAACGAAGTCGTACTGAGGACCCTAAGTAGTACTGTCAAAAACATCGGTACGTACAACATCCCCTTTCAAATTGCTGGACCTTCACGAACTTGCTGGAAACGGAGTACCGTGCCGGCAGGATCCCTATAAAGAAAGTCGCACAGAAAGATAAGACTACTTGGAATTCGGTGGGAATCCACAAAGACAGCGTAGGAGATATCGCCCATTATACTGCAATATGGTGAGCATAGCCATGTCTGATGAAAGAGCCACCTGCTGACCTGGTGTTGACGAACAAGTTCCGGAAGCATGCGAACAAGACTTGGGATCGCGGCTCGTACCAGTAAAGCCACACCCTATTATCTAGCGGCTCTTTCTGTGCGTGGTTCTCTTTTATACTCTTGATCTGGGAAGCAGGCACTCTTCTGTAAACCTTCGAGAGGGTTCGTAGCCTTGCTAACGGTTTTCAACCTCACTCAGGGCGAATCTAAAAAAGTTTTTTTTAAGTGTTCATAAATCGTCTGTGAACAAATTCAAGAGAAGACAGATCCATAGGCAGCAAAAGAAGACTTTCGCTAAACAAGAGAGAGCTTCACAAGAGAAATAAGTCGATTCCTTATTTTCTTCTATTATAGGTAGCGCGCACAGGAAAGAGAGAAGAACGACAACAAGATATCAACAGCCCCAAGGAAGTCAAGCTCAGAAGGCAAGAATTTTTCTATACTCCTCACTGGGATAGAAGGAATTTACCTGACATAAGCGAAAGAAGGAGTTGACTGGTATTACCGGATCACAGTCCCTAGCTATCTTCCAAACAGATCTCCTTTTTGCATTGCCTTTTCGATAGCACAAGTAAAGGTCTGGTGCGCATAACTGCTGCCATCTACACTTGGAGAAAGGGACCGGAAAGAGCCTATTCGAGAACAGTAAGAGCAGACAATGAATGTGCTTGCGTCCTCTTCTTTTACTATTATACCTGCCTATGGAACTGTGCACAACCGATTTGTAACAAGCAAGAAGAGCGGATACGTCGTTCTTTCTCTTTCAAAGAGCGCTCCCGATGGCTAATGTATTGACCTCTTAAAGCATTTCAACAGGCCTGTACAGATAAATGTATCTTTAACCACTTTATAGCCTTGGCAGATTTGCTTTCTTTCCCGCTTTCGACTGGGTTCAAAAGGACGATGGAGCCTTCCACTGTCACTGTGGACCGAGACTACGCAAAGGTAGAACATCATAGAAACTTCGCTGACTTTCTCATAAACCTTGATTTCGCTACGCTCAATAAGAAGCTGGAATCGCTTAAATTGGTTCGTGTTCCGTTTCCAAAGTAAGTCGTCTTTACCCAAGTGTGAACTTCAGACGACTCTCAAGCGGTTCCATTCCTTCTTCTCTTCTGACTACAAGACTGCAGTCTTTTATCGATACCGACCCATAAAAGTGACCGACCAGGGCCCTATTGATGAATGAAAGGCTTTATGAGCCCTGTAAGCCCACACCTGTGTAGAGTGGATCGTTCAACACCTGCGGCACAAACCCATTTTTGACCTATTGGTCCTAGTATCATAGGCGACCGAACGGCCGCCCCCTAATTACTAGACCGACCTGCTATAATAATTCCATAAACACCTAGCGAAGATATGGCAAACAAATAAAGTAGCCCTATGTTCGGATCGGAAGTGATAATAAAAGTGGGAATGCTGTCACTAGAACGGACCACACAAATAGGGGTGATCTATGCATAGTCATTCCAGGTCCACGCATGTTGGAGATAGTTGTTATAAAATTGATAGAACCTAAAATGGATGAAATACCAGATAGATGAGGACTAGAAATTGCTGAATCAACTGCTCCTCCAGAATGGCTGGTAATACCACTTAAGGGCGGATAGACCGTCCACCCGGTGCCACTACCCACTTCTACTAAGGCTGGGCTTAATAGGAGTTTCATAGCGGGGGTTCTGAAGCTTAGGAGAGGAGACTGTTTCGCTGTCGTTAGATTGTGTGGCAACGTGAGCCAACGCCAGCAGAAAGGAGGAGGAGACGGAAGGCTGTATTCCGAATCTATGTCCGAATTGGACAGTGCAAAGATGATCATTGATGCTGGGAGTTCGGATAACATAGCGTCCACGGAGATGGTGGGTCAGTTGGGGCTGGGGAAGTTAAAGCAGGACGTCTGGTGTGAGGTCGTCCCTATGTATTACATATCCTACTCGGAAGACCGTGGTAATACGAGTAGGGTGTTACCTGCGTAGGGAGAACACCGGTTGACTTTTAACGGCAAACGCGGTTATTGCCATCAGAAGACTTTGGTTGGCTAAGGAGAAAGGGTGTTGGCATAGCATTTCTGGAATTGGAGAAAGAGATACGAACGGAAAGGAATAACCAATCGATGAAAGAACATGAAACCATTCTGTTTCAATAGAGGTACGAGAAAGGGTTGGGGGCAATGAAGTAGGTGAAGTGGTTGGATTTTGCGAGCTGTTCCCACCACTGCTGGATGTGATTCCAAGAGCCGAACGAGAATGAATACCACACAGAAAAGTCAAGACCAGGCTCCCTAATGGAATGTTTAACCGATCCATTCCGGATCGACCGAATTGGTACGGAAGTTGTAACATGGGAAAACCACGGAAAACACGACTTATTTGAATAACCCGGTGACCTACCAATTGTAGAAGTAGGATTTTTGGCAAGCAATAAGCACTTAAATAATACAATTCAAGTGTACCATCTTCTTTCTCATTTCGAGGAAAAGGTGCGGAAGGAAAAGGAAACAACGGAGGGATCCGAATCGGACCTAAATGGGAATGACATGAAAAGTCTTTTTCAAAACCTAGCATTAAGGGCGTTACGACGATATATGAGAGGAATGGAGAAAAACTCGTGATTGGTGTGGAGGGGAAGGTCTGTTTATAATATAGTTCAAGAAAGAGTCGTCTCATTTCCTTACTTCTTCGTTCTTTCTAATTCATTCACTTCAAGACTGGTTCTGAACGCCGCGTAACATCATCTTCAACCAACCTCCATCGTACCGGTGCGACCACTAAAGAATTGCTTATACACTAAACAGCTGCTTATATATGCTTACTAAAAGACTGACTTTTATTCATATTCAATTCATTAGGCCAGCGTGAAACTAAGAAAGATAGATGTGCCTAAGGCGTAAGCAAACTGTGCACGCTAAGAGAAGAGGAGAGATTTCCCCTGCAGTAGCTTCCAACAACTTAAGATTGACCTCCTCAAGTGCCAGATATGAATGTTTTATTAATTTCATACGGGACTACTTACTTACCTAAAGTGAACTTTTGGCTTACCTAAAAAGTGGACTGAAGGAACTGACCTAAGCATAGCTCTCTCAAATAAAAATGCCTTTCATTTCTCTTTTAAGACCTTTGTCCTACTTCTAGTCTCAGTCCTCTAGCCTATCGAAAGTCATCTTTTTATTAACATTAACCAACAACACATGCACTTTGTTGGCACTAAAAAAAGGTTATTCAATCCACTAGTGCAACTGAAGGAATTACCTCTTCTGAACCGGAATAAGAAAGAGCTCATAACCACTACTTGTGAACAGCTCTCCTCAACTGAAGGCGCACCTACTGTTACTAGAAGTCTAGTCTCTCTCAGGTCCAGTTTCGATCTCGAATTACAACATAGGCGGGAAAAGAGATATTCAGAAAAGCCGATTTCCTGTCCTGTCTTAAGAACCTGACTCAAAAGAGGACTTCTTCCAAAGTTTGTATCTCTTCATAGCGTTAAATGCTGCGTCTAGTAATAAATGAGAATGCAATTCTTACCGTATATTAATAACTGGCTATTCTTACCAGATTGTATCTCTCATAGCGTTAAATGCTGCGTTAAATGGCTATTCTTACCGAATAGACAATCTGGTAAGAATAGCCATTTCTTCCAAAGTTTGTATCTCTTCATAGCGTTAAATGCTGCGTCTAGTAATCAATAAGAATAGAATATATACTTCATAGCGTTAAACCGCCCTTTGAATAGAATATTCTTATCGTATCAGTGTAATTTACTGAAATAGTCGTTTAGTACCGGAATTTTACCAGTCAAGTCAGTTCCTCCCACCTAGGTCCCCGACTTTGCTTTCTTGTCCGGAATAGAACCAGCTTGAGTTCCGAGGACAGAAGCCTTTTTTTCTGGTTGGCTAGTTGGTTTTCATCTGCCGGAAGAACACCAAAGAAGCGTCTTCGCAGAGCCTCCTAGTCAAGACCCGGAAGGCTCACTGTTGCTGTAACCATAACCATCGGAATCGGGCTTGTGAAGGAGAGGCAATAGCAGCCCTCTCTGAAACTTAAAGATCCTACTCACGTTCACTTTAAGAGGTGGTTTAAGGAGTTTATAGGTTAGCATCAAGGTATGTAGTTTTCCCAAACCAAATGTTGATGGCTTGGAGTTACATACCCCTGAAGAGAAGGAGATGAGCACAAAAAAGCCTCTTCCGGATGTTGATCCGAAAGTGACGATACAACAAAGGCTATTCGGTGTGAGTTGGTGTTCAGTATGGAGGTACCTCTTCACTAGGGCTCAACGCCAGTTCCTTAAGTAGATTAGGGAAAAGAACTCAGAGAATTGAGTATTTATCCATTTTATTTCTTTTTAATGCGGTAAATTCGGTCACAGATCCGAGTCATGTTTACAACGGACTGAAATCAAACCGACACGAGTGCAGGGAAGGACAATAATGATGCTATGAGAACTGATACAGAGCAAGAGAAGCAAAATGTTGTAGTAAATAAACCTTCACGAAAATAGGGTCCTTGGATGATAGGTCAGAAAAGGGACGACGCGGAGTGATAAATTGAAATCAGAGAGGGGAATTCACGGAGGTGAGCGAGAACATGATGGCAATAAGCAATAGGGCTCTCGGTTTGCAGTGTTAGAAACCGAAGAACCCGAAGGGATGGCCGATGAGCACAGGCTCGCCGGAGTGATCAGGGGGAACAATGAGATAGAGCAACGGAAGAAGGTCGTCGTCTCTTTGGGAAGAGTCCAGCTCCAAGTACGCGGTTCAAGCACAGCTAAATGCACAGAGAGAACAGAGCACCCGGAATCAGCAAGCCATCCAGGGGGGCCGGGGCCGCCCCCCACTTAACAACCTAAAAACCCTCCTACCCAATCGCAACCGAAAAACCCAGCGCAAGCTCCGCCCAGACCCGCTTATAACAACGCTGCGCCTCCGGCCAATTATGATCCTCAGCAGCAACAAGGTGCTCCCAAGCGACCCTGGGGACCCAATAGAGCTCACTACCCGCCATTAGCCCTACCCATTCCTACCCTATTCTCCATCCTTCTGACCTGTAAAACCCTTATGACTTTCAGTGAAGATATGCTTATACGGCGAAGTCAGTCACAAAGTTTATGTTCGTATGCTTTCACTCTAAGCCGACCATCCAAAAAAGGATGTGTACAATTGATCATTGACCGCAGTCTTCTCTTTTCTCTCCCAATGTGGGGAACTTTTTTCGGTTTTTTTCTCTTCAGCACAACACTCAATGGTGATGCATGGCGTCATTACTGAATCCTTTCATTGACCTTTCTTTTCTATAACGAAAAAAGCCCTCCTCTCGGTGATGTGGGTGAGAAACCCAAATCAGAAAAGCTCAGCAAGCCAATGGCTCAACGGTTCTCACCACCCTCCTCTGGCGCAAACACCGTTTGCTGCGCTGCGCTCATCACGAGAAGCCGGGGAACTCTCTTGGGTGGACTTCAAGCGCGATGATAGTCAGTCTGAAGTTTTCTACTATGCCATCTTTATTAGTTCAAAGACCGGGCTTGGGGGTTGGTCTCAGTGGTCAATGAAAATGTACTAGTGTGCTGTCTTAACATGCAGAAATTTTATTAGACTGCTAGCTTTACCAGCGGTAGGAGGGTGAAAAGACGGTGCATGAGCGAAGTAGGATCCTCTTTTTTTGTATCTCATCGACGATATTCTTTGGTTTTGGTACATAACAATTTGCATAAGCAAAGTCGAATATTTGTTACAAATCTAGATCCTGCACTCTCATCTCTAGTATATAGAATGAAGGGGACGACCCTAATGTTGTGTTGGCAAAGCCAACTTCTTGGGTTTCGGGCGGTGAAAAGCGGACGTGGGGACTCGGGTCGGGGCGCAGCGTAACTAAGGGATTCCATTTAGGGCGAGACAAAATGTGCGGGCACGGGCGGTCTGGTGTCCGAGCCGATTGGTCAGACGACGACTACTTCACTTATTAGATTAGTATTAGCCGCCTGTCCCGGAATGGAATGGGATGGAATAGAAAAAACGGGAAGCGCTATCGGTTCGGTTTTTTTGGGAGGGAGAAGCTTGTGAAGAAGGAAGCTTATCCCCGCCCCGACTGTCAGTTGCTGGCTCTCTCCATCTCTCCTAAACTTCCCCCGGGTTTCGGCCCGAGCTATATGAGGCAGAAACTCGTCCCACGTACGGTTCGGAGGCCGAGCCCCACCCCAACAGTAAGGGTGCGGCTTAGGTTAACTAACACAAAGAAGATACAGTTCACTCAACGATTGCCTTTGGGTTCCGAACTCCATATGGGGAAGGAGCGTTGTTGTTTGCAAGGTCTCGATTATTTACATGGACCCACTTCTCATTCAATTTGTGGGAATTTTCTGATCTATAAACCGTCCCTAACTAACGACCGGCTCATGTTTGAGGATGATGAATCACTTCGTGTCGACCTGTTGCCAATAAACTTTCCGGCCTCATATGAGAATGGAAAACTGGAGCATTTTCTGCATCGGTGGATGAAGAATCGCGAACATAAGAATTTCTGGTTGACCATGTTCCCAGAAAAAAGATACTTTCAAGAAACGACGAACACGACTGAAGTGGCTATACATACAAATCCATTTACGGATCTATATGCTCCGATTGGAACTTCCAGTTCCAGAACAGGTGGCTGGTATATTTACCATAATGAAACTGCCTTTTATTTTTTTTATTCGGATCGGATTTATGTTGGCTTCGTTGGGAGGATCGCGTAGTTTGTTACGTCAGCTCAAAAAGGATAAGTTGCCTTGGAATCGAGAAAGTTACGTGGAGTTCATAATTGCATAAAAGGAGTCAAAGTAAAGTAGTGGCTGCGGCGCGTTGAGGCACTTCTTCGACGGTTCCCGTACGCCCGGCCTGCCGGCCCGCTCTGAAGAATTCATGGGTCGGCAGGCGGGCGAGACAGAATGGGCGGGCACTACTAACCAAGCCAAGCCCAGTTCCCGCCGATAGGCGCAGGTAGCTTGCTTCCAAGCCTTGCCTTATATGATAGTTGTGGCCATGGCCCGAAGGAGCCTTAAGCACTTGTACAATGCTTCAAGTCAAGGCTCCCCCCACTCGTTGCCCAGAGCCTTTTCTTTCCATGTTTTTAGTCAAATGCGCGCTAGCGCGCTACAACTAGCACTTTTTCTCTGAGAGGCTCGCTTCTTCCCGCCCCTTATTGAAAAAAAAAGGGCGTTAGCGCTTTTACTTTTATTTATTATATAATACCTTCTTTCTACTTCTTTCTCAAAGTAAAGCAAGCAACCTTTCGCCTTTATTTTTTTAAGGAGATATAAAAAGAAGCAACCTTACTAAGCAAACGTAGGCTTGGGCTCGAAAGCAAGAAGCAACGGCTTTCGCGCTTGTAGGAGCTATTAAGCATCTTAGACTATTCCATTCCATTTTGCAGCTGGACAGAAAAGTGGAAACTTTCCGCGGGATCCTCTTTCTGCGGGATGCTCTTTTGCGCTACGATGGATTTTTTTACTCTTTAAGTGCGCCACTCCTTCTTTTGTCCTGTATCTGTAGCTGCTTTTCCCGCACTCTCTTTTATCCCGCCGAAGGTCCCCCCTTACGTAATAGGGGTTAAGTTAAGGGGGGTGCACACCGTGGTCAAATCTGCATGAAAAACCGCGTATTTAGTGGAAGTAGATAGTTAGGGACTGACCTGGTACCACTTTGAGTTACTGCCTCGAAGTACTAGACCAGCTCCTGTTGAAGAATAAGGCTTTTGAGCTGCCTGAGCATTGAATTTGGAACACAGGCCAAACGAAGTCGTACTGAGGACCCTAAGTAGTACTGTCAAAAACATCGGTACGTACAACATCCCCTTTCAAATTGCTGGACCTTCACGAACTTGCTGGAAACGTAGTACCGTGCCGGCAGGATCCCTATAAAGAAAGCCGCACAGAAAGATAATACTACTTGGAATTCGGTGGGAATCCACAAAGACAGCGTAGGAGATATTGCCCATTATACTGCAATATGGTGAGCATAGCCATGTCTGATGAAAGAGCCACCTGCTGACCTGGTGTTGACGAACAAGTTCCGGAAGCATGCGAACAAGACTTGGGATCGCGGCTCGTACCAGTAAAGCCACAGAAATCAAAGAAGGCGCACGAAGGAAGGCAGTAGCACTAGCTTGATAATTTGTTCCGAGGAATGCAAAATAGCTGGACCTCTTATTGAAGGGGGCTCTAACATCATTCTGTTATTTCACCCCAGATTAATGATTAATGAGTAGCACAGAAGGCCCAGCCTTCATCCAGTAAAAGATTAGCTCGTGCCTCTTCCTTGGAGGACCTTACCAGGCATGAGGGCAAGCGCTTGGAACTAGAAGCCTTGTCTTTTGACTCATGTCACGTCGATCGTTGATAAGTGCCCGATCTGGGATAGGCTGGCTGGGCACAGTTTTGAAAATCGGATTATTGAGTTCGCCTGGACTACGCTGGCTTTGGGATGCCAGGCTTGATGCTTCAAGAAAGTTCCAAACCAATCTCTGGCACTTGGTAAAGATTTGTGATTTCCGGGTGATGACAAGTAACTCGTGAAGGTCTATAGTCAACTACGGCTATTGAGCGTCGAGATGCTTTACCACGCGAGATCCTTTCCTCACGCACGATACTTATATAGTAGAGATTGCCCCCCCTTTTCAGCCCTAGACTGGGTAGATTCTTTCGATTCTTCAATGAAAGCCTTCATGAAAGCTGCAACAGGATAAAGGATATCCTCTCTTCTCGCTCTGTCTGCTTAATGCCTTCTATTGAATCGATTGGTGCCATTTCTTCTCTTGGAGGCAGGGCAATAGATTCATCTTGTCCTTGGCTTGTGAAGGGAATGAGGTATTTGATTCAAGGTAGCTTTAGCTTGCTTCCAAGTCCAAGCGCTAGCGGTAGAAGCTAGTCGTCAGAAGCGAACTTCCGGGCCGGGAAGGAGCCAAAAAAGGTGAGCGCCCCTGCGCGAGCCTTATTGAAAACAAAAGCAAGAAGGGAGAAAGTTTACTTTGAGAAAGTTGTTGCCACTTTATTAGTAAGGTTGTTTACCTCAATAAAGGTGAAAACTTGCTTGACTATGACTAAGAAGAGTTTATTCAACTCCTGAGAGATTCTAGAGTTCTTGAGCTACCCCAATTTGATGAGAATGAGGGAAGAAGTCCTTAGCTATTCCTTTGGCCTATAATAAGAAAGGTCCATCAAGACTCAGAAATTACCCTCGATCTTTTCAATCCCTCTAGTAGAGAATTCTTAGCCTTCGTCTTAGAAACTGAGCTCTCACAAAGCAAGTCATTACTTATTGTTTACACACACTTTCTATTTGACTTAGCCTACTTCTTTCTCATTAGATCAATTAGGCAGGGGAAGACTCTGTGTACTAACTTTCTCTTCTTTCTTCTTCTTTGAAATCCCTTGCCACTTCCCTTCTTTGCTAGCACGTGCCTGTCTTTGCTTTGCACAAGAGATCCCCCTACTCTTCACACCCCTCTAGTCCTGATCTTGCTTATGCATTACTTGGGAAGGATTGCCCTCTCCCTTTGTTGGGGGCTTTGGCTACCCTACCTCATTCCCTTCACAAGCCAAGGACAAGATGAATCTATTGCCCTGCCTCCAAGAGAAGAAATGGCACCAATCAATTCAATAGAAGGCATTAAGCAGACAGAGCGAGAAGAGATGATATCCTTTATCCTGTTGCAGCTTTCATGAAGGCTTTCATTGAAGAATCGAAAGAATCTACCCAGTCTAGGGCTGAAAAGGGGGGGCTAAATGCAGAGACAAGGCAACTGAGGATAGTGACTTTCTCCTGTAATGAATAGAATAGGCCTGAGAGCTATGAAAGGAGAGAGTTTCCTATTCCATATTCCGGTTGACCAATTCGCGCAGTATCCAATCCAGAATATAGGCTTGCTTTTGCCCTCTCCCGATAGTACATTTATGCTCCTAAATCACTGAATTCAAACTCTCTATCGGATGAAAGGGAGCGAGCGATTAAACTCCTATAATGTTGGGTCTTAGAGCCAGTAGAGCGCAGTACAAGCGAATGGAGTGGAATCTACCATTGAAGAAAGATATTTGCTTAACCCAGGCCTTCAGATCGTACTTCCTGCTTAAAGAGGATCGGAAGAAGTTGAAGGTTGAGAAAGAAGGATCATATGTGTACGAACAGAATGAACCCCAGATAGAGAAAGCGGACCAAGAGCTTCCGATAATATGAATGATTTGGCAGCTTTCCCCAGTAAAGACATGCTGCCCTCGTCGCTTTTAGTAGCTTATTTTCGTAAGCTCCTCTCTCCGGTCGTCCTCCTTCACCGCTATGATCCCTTTATTCTCTCGTATATAAGGATTCGGCTTGCTTCCTCAATTGGTTATTGGCTGGACATTGAATGGCATTGACCGACTCTTGTCAATAGCAATAGGTTGTTTGGCAGCAAGCGACAACTACCAATTCAATCTTGAGATTTAGTAAGAATAGCAGACGGTATACTAGTCAGGACTCTTCTTTTCTACGAACAAGTCAGTACTCGCACTATTGGGAGAGCGACGAGGAGATGGAGATTCCAGAAAAGTCTATGAATAAGTAAGTGAAGGCTTAGCTTACGTGCTCAACTCAAGCAAGAAGAAGCTAGAAAGTTAAGCCTATTGAATGGTGGCAGAGGGAGTGGAGGTCTAAAAGTCAGAAGAGAACACTGTGCAAAGGGTACGCGACCACAACACACTGTTGTCCCTTTTTTTTTTCTTTTTCTTCGCACTAGGAGTAGCTGTAACTTAGCAATTCGATTGTACTCAGATCGAACATGGCAATGAATGTCAGTGTGCTCTCTGGGCCTTACTTCTTGATGACTGATCTACATTCTCAGCTGATGACATTGAATGATTTGAGGACGCTGGGCGGCCAAGCTTGCTTGCGCTTGGGCTGTTTCGCCGTGCCAACCGCAGCTTTTGAATCAATTTTGGGGTGATCTTTGACCAGC